TATATATATATATATATATATATATATATATATATACTATGCATTTGTGCATGCATTTAAACATACAAACAAATAGAAAGTAATCGTATGCATGTTTATTTATTCTTCACTTTCTCTCTCGTTTGCCGATGTTGTATTTTTTACTGCGAAGACATCTTCACCTGCTGCTTGACAATAGCTGTTGCTGCAGCTGCTGTTGCAGCGGCTGCTGGTGTAGTTGCCGCCGCAGCAGCAGCAGCAGCAGCAACATGTGCTGTTGCAGCAGCAGCAGCAGGTGTTGACTGCAGTGGTTGTCAGCTTTTCTGATGCTCTTGGATTTTTCTTTTTAATTTTTAGTTTGTGTTTTCCTTCAAACATTTTATTTTCTTTGTTTGTTTGTCTGCAAATAAATAACGAAGGAGACGGCTGAACTATGAATTTGTCTCTCCACATTTTAGCAGCAGCAGCAGCAGCAGCAGCAGCAGCAGAAGCAGTAGTTAAGTGGCACCTACAGCTGCAACAGCAGCAGTAACAGCAACTGCAGGCCAGGCAGCAGCAGCAGCAGCACTCACTGTTCGTATTTGTAGGCGACCATCCTTAACATGCACTTTGCTTCGTATAGTCGCATATATAGCAGAAAATTAATGTAAATGTACGGCACACTGCAGCAGCAGCAGCAGCAGCAGCTGCTGCTGCTGCTGCAGTGTCCGTACAGCGTTGGTTTCGCTGCTTCCGTTCATTATCAGATGCAACTGCACTATGCGCTCGCCTAAGTAATTAAAATAAATGAGTAAATATAAGTAAATAATGTAAGGCGAGCAGCAAACAATCTCTGCGTTGGTGGCTGCTGCTGCATGCAGTCTGCAGCTAGAGGTTAATATATTTATTTTTGTATTTCCCCCTTTCTCTTGTTTTTGTCGCTATATACACAATATATTCCGGTGTACATACACCTCAACAAACCGCAATCCTTAAAGAAACGCCTTAAAGAAACTCCGGTGTACGTACACATAGACAAAACGAGAATGCAGCAGCAACCCGCTGGGGCTGCTTCTGCTGCATGCTGCTTCTGCCTGCTGCTGCTGCCTACTGCTGCTGCTGCTACCAACTGCTGTTGCTGTACACTGCTGCTGTTGCTGCTGCATGCACGCTGCTGCTGCTGCAGCTGCTGCTTGCATGCATATGCATGCATGCAAGCAGCCACTGCCTGGAGCGGTGGGCCGCAGCAGCAGCGCACGCATGTTTGCATGCAACATGCATGCAAGCAAACACATGTATGCATGCACATGCATACACCAACGCATGCATGCATGCATGCATATGTACGCACACAACCACACACACACACCTACGCACGCACGCATGCATGCATGCACACACTCACATATGCATGCATGCAAATGCATGCATACCCCTACAAATGCATGCATCCATACCCATGCATACATAAGCATACATAATAAAAATGCATGCAAATGCATGCATGCAAACGCATGCAAAAGCAAATATATATATACAAATAAATATATATATATAAATATAAATTATATTATCCGAGCTTAGCCTTTCTTCTTTCTCCCTTCCCCACAGCATGAAACCCGCTTTTAATTGTCGTAACAGAGCGGTTAGCGCCGCATGCACTGCAACTCTGATGCCACAGACGCGTGCGAGAATCTCTCGTCATAGATGTGTTGGGGGACTTGCACATCTGGCAGGTGACGTACTCAGCTGAAACGCATCCGCAAACCCTAAACCCTAAACCCTAAACCCTAAACCCTAAACCCTAATCAGGCGTAAACCCTAATCAGTCGTAAACCCTAATCAGTCGTAAACCCTAAACCCTAATTAAACCCTAGTAAACCACAATACATACTAATGAACAGTAATCAACAGTAATCAACAGTAATCAACCCTAATTAAACCCTAGTAAACACTAATAAACCCTATTCCACCCTAATAAACCCAATACATACTGTATTCTAAACCCTAAAGCCTAAATTCTAAACCCTAAACCCTAAATTCTCTATTCTAAGACGGGGAGATGGCGGAAATGTTCGCTGCTTTTTCTGTTCTAGGGTTTTTCACATGCATTTTATGCAGACATGCAAAGGCAAAAACAAACCCTAAACCCTAAACCCTAAACCCTAAACCCTTGAACTGACTGATGTATTTGCGTAGGAGAGCTTCGATATGTTTGGGTCCGTACTTCCCCTTCAACACCAACTGGCCGTCTCCTGCTATGGAACCCTCCGTCCCTACAAAACAACAAACCCTAAACCCTAAACCCTAAACCCTAAACCCCAGTAAACCCTAGTAAACCATATTAAACCATATCAAACCCTAGTAACCCTTAAGCACAAACCCTCTTCATGCCAGTCTGTGCATTTCTGCGGGAGAATTCGCACATGAACAAAATGCATGTACACTATCCCTAAACCCTAAACCCTAAACCCTAAACCCTAAACCCTAAACCCTACCGAGCTCAGCTAGTACGAACTGGAGCACGTGTTCACTTGGTCTGTGCATAATGCCGCAAATGTCTTTAAAGTTAATCCAAGCGACCTAAACAAGCAAAGCAGCAAAAACAGAGGTGCGCATACACCCCAACAAGCCCCCAAAGAACAGCATAAACCTAAAAACAGAGAAACCCTAAACACCAACGAATACCGCTACTACTGCTATGATTGCTGCTGCTTCTGCTTCTGCTGCTGCTGCAACTGCTGCTTCTAATGCTACTGTTATTCTTGCCGCCGCCGCTACTGCTGCTGCTGCTGCTGCTGCAGCTGCATTGAGAAGAGAAGAAAAGGAGAAAATAAAACACAAGTTCTTGAGGTGTATACGCACCTTCTTGGACCCCACACGAACAACTTGTGGAGGTTTAATTGTATAACGCTTCGAACCAGCGAGGTCTGGATTGTTCTTCACAATTAAATCCTGTATGCGGCTTAGCATCTGTATACACATAAATAAATATATTTGTTTTTAAATATATAAATATGTATATATATGAGACATATATATACATATATTATATAGTATATATATTATATAATGTATATCATATATGTAAACAAACAGCCTTGGCGCATCTATATACACACAAACAATAACATAGTAGTTGCATATATATATATATATATATATATATCAGCACAAGGAGTGTATAGACAGCTGTTGGGGTGTATATTGAGTTTATCACCTCTTCATAGCTGTAGACATGGCCGCGAATAAACAGCTGCCCAGACCCATCGATAAAACCCTCAGCAGCAGCAGCATCAGCTGCAAACAAACTCACACACAAACCCCTGTGCTGCTGCTGCTGCTGCTGCTGATGTTGCTGCTTGCTGCTGATGTTGCTGCTTGCTGCTGATGTTGCTGTTGTTATTCTTCCTGCGCTATTGCTGATGATAGTGATGGTGTTGCTGTCGCTGCTGTTCCTGCTGCCTCTCCTGCTGCTGCTGCTACTGTTCTCGTTGCTGCTACACTACTGTTGTTGCTGCTGTTGTTGCTGCTGTTGCTGCTGCTGGTGCTGCATGCGGTGTATACCCTGATCTTCTGGTTTTTTTTCTTTCTTCTTCTTTCTTCTTTCACCGAAATCAAAGGCCTGAGCTGCAGGTTGCTGCGTACATTAAATAAACAAACAAAGGAAATAAAGGATGGGTGGGTAGATGCAGCACAGCATGTATGAGGGCTCGGAAGAAAGACAGAAGAAAACTGAATCCAAAGAAAGAATAAAATATAACAATTGCTGTTTTTATATTCTGCTTTCTTTATTTGTTTACTTCTGTTGCAGCAGCAGATGTTGCTTCCGGAGCGGGTGGGGCCCCCATATCCTCCCTTTTATCTGATGCGTCGGTGCCTGCCATTGCAAGATAAATATATAAATACAATTAAAGAAATCAATGTATTATTCAACGTTCTAATAAACTCTCATACGGTGTACATACACCGCAGCTTCCTTCTCTGGTGTATACTCACCTTCAGCCCCATGAGCATCAGCCGCCAGCCCCCCAGCCTGCAGTAATCCATACAAACCATTGACAGGGATGTTTCCTGAAGATTTTCTTTGTTTTTTATTGAATAAATATGTTAAATACGCTTCTAAATACTTTTTAATGTTAAAATATTTACTTAGAACGCAGAAAATAAGCCACAAACACCCGAATAAGTGCAGCAACTCCTCAGTGTTCAGACTGCAAAGATTGCATGCAATTTTATACTGTCGGAAAGAAAAAACTTTTTAGTAAACAGACAAAGACAAATTTAAAAGAAAAAGTTTATTCTCTAGATTTACCTCAGATCAACACCAACATTATCCAAATATACATACAAAAAGGTGTGTGTTAAACCAGATATATATATATATATATATATGTATGTATGTATATATATACATATACATAGGTATATATATATATATATGTTTTGTTGAATATATACATATTATATTACACAAATGAATAGCTGCAAGTAGGTGTATGCAGCGACAGCTAGCTAGAAGTAGTATCTGCTTCTGTACTTAGCTAGCTCTGAGGGGTGTAGGTAAAGCATATCTCTTCATGATAAGTGTCTATTGTTGAGGTTGTTGTATTCTGTTTGGTGTATTATTTTTATTTCCTTTTTTCTTAGCTTCTTCAATGTGAAACAATTCATTCTTCACAGTTCTATGCTGCGGGCAATAGAGTCGCTAGCTGTAGCTAGCGGTAGCTTGCTGTAGCTAGCTGTTTCTATCTGTTCCTAGCTGTAGCTAGCCGTAGCTAGCTGTAGCTAGCTGCTTCCAAATGCCGTTTGGTGGTGGTTTCTTGGCTTCATGTCTCAGCGCCTTAAACAAACTCAATGCATGCAGTACATGCTTATTTTTCTTTGCTTCTTTATTTATTTCTCTTTCACCTCCACTGTATGTGCAGGTATTCTTCAGCGGATATTCTTTAAAGGCAAAAAACACGCGCTTTTTAAAACCCAACATATTTATGCAGGAGACAGCAGGCGCAGCAGAGAAGAGCTCATCCTCTCGAGTGTATGAACACCCCCCAATATATATATATATATATATATATATATAACAAATAATAAAGCACTTATTTATTATATATAATTCAATATAATATATATACAAAATAAAGCGCCAGCAAAGCCTGCAGAGACAGCAACAACTTAAGACACACAGAAGGCGGTACAATCTGTCGCTTTATCGCTTAGAGATATATTTAAAATACAATAAATTATTTAACAAGACAAACTCTATCAATACTTCAATTGAACACCCCAGCAGGCAGAGACGAAGCCGCAGCACGCGGTGTGCGTGCACCCAACTCAGTATGACAAATAATACAAACAAGCGCGCATCTATAGATATATATATATATATATAGATATAGATATAGATAGATAGATAGATAGATAGATAAATAAGTATATATATATATATATATGCATGCGCCAGAGTGGTTTGTATGATGTCTCTGGCTTTGTTGCTCTGTTCGGGGTGCCTTAAAGCGTCTCCTTCGCTATGGCAGCAACAACAATAAAAATTGAGAGTCGATAATCTCTTGAAAAAGAAAGAAAAATTCAGTAGATGTTATATTTATTTAGACGCAAAATAATAGAGAAGTTTGTTTGCTGCTGAATGAATGAATGCATGAGTTGAGTTGAAGCAAACAACAAGAAAATGAAGAGCATTCACAATGCAGAGCTACTGTTTCTTTTTTGTATATTTACACTTTACTCTTTGCAAGCAGC